TTAGGACTTGGCATTCACTGCTGGGGCCCAGGTTCAATCCCTGGTCAGGGAGTTAGGATCATGAAAGCCACACAGCATGGCCAAAAAAACAAAACAAAGCAAAAAATCATTAATAAATACACAGGTTTTTATGATATAGTCAAAAAAGATAAACAACCTTGAAGAAAAATAAGCAAAATTCTTTTTTATAAAAGACATGCTAATGGTTATTAAATACATAAAACAATATTCAAATTCATTTACAATGAATAAAATAACAAGCCTTTATACCTTTTAAATGAAAAATGAGGAAAGAACTAGAATTAGAGTTTCATAAACTGCTTGTAAGCATGAAAATTGGTGGATAATTTGGCAATATATATTTCAAAAGCTTTACAATTATTTATAATCTTTTACCTATCAAGTCTCTTTCTGGGAATTTATTTTAAGGAAATAATAAAATAATATATATATATATACAAAGATTTATAGAATAAAGTTTTATCATAGAGCTATTTTTAGTAATGAAAAATCTGAGATGTGTTTAAATAAAGCTGAACAATGATAATCAATAGGCAATTGATCAAATACATTGTGATACATTTATATAAAGATTCAATATGCAATCATTGAAAATACAGAATTTAATGACATGAAATATTTGTCACAGTATGTTGCAAGAAACAAAGCAGGTTACAAAGCAATATACAATATAATTCTATTTTTATAAATATATATTATAGTGGTATGTGTATGCATATATGTATCTAGAGAGATAGAATTCTGGTTGATGTATTACAGGCAATTTTAGTTATTCCATGAGCTTTTCTGAATTGAAAAATTGCATAAAACAGTAAAATTTATTTACACAAATTAGAAATTTGAAGTCAGAAATATTTAAAATAATTTAAAATGTTCATCCTGATTCTTAATATTATCAGACCCTTTAATTGTATTTGGCTACTGAAATAAAACTATTATGAAATAGGGATGCTAAGTCACTTCAGTTGTGTCTGACTCTTTGCCACCCTATGGACTGTAATCTGCCAGGCTCTTCTGTCCATGGGATTCTCCAAGCAAAAATCCTGGAGTGGGTTACCATTTCCTTTTCCAGAGGATCTTCCCAACCCAAGGATCGAACCCCTGTCTCTTATGTCTCCTGCATTTGCGGGTTTGTTCTTTACCACTAGCACCACCTAGGAAGCCCTTATGAAATAGGGGTAGTGATTTTTTTTTTTTAATGTAATAAACATGACCTCCCTTTGCCCCTTTATTATTATTTTTTAAAAAAAGTTATTTATTTTTAACTGAAGGATAATCACTCTACAATACTGTGTTGGTTTCTGGCATACACCAACATGTATCAGCCATAGCTTTACATATACGCCCTCTCTCTTGAACCTCCCTCCTATCTCCCACCCCTGCCCCTTTATTATTTTTTAATGTCCTAAACAGTGATTTCTCAAATTCTATACTCAAGCATTAGTTGAAAAGCATACACGTTTTATTGTTAAGCATATGTCCCTCTTCCAACAAAATGAAATGTCATCCAGAGTCACTGTGGGTAACCAAAAGTCTCAGTTGATTTTCTATTTTGTGGCGCAGGTGGTAAAGAATCTGCCTGCAATGTGGGAGACCTGGGTTCCATCCCTGAGTCGGGAAGATCCCCTGGAGAAGGAAATGGCAAGCCATTTCAGTATTCTTGCCTGGAAAATCACATGGACGGAGGAGCCTGGTGGGCTACAGTCCATAGGGTCACAAAGAGTTGGACATGACTGAGCGACTTCACTTTCACTTTTCTATGGAACTGTATGATTTTATTCTCCTGTTACCAAATGAAGGTTCATGTGCCTGATGCAGAGTGAGGCCAAACAAACCAAAACATCAGAGTTAGGAGCAGGGAAAGGTTTATTGAAGGGCCAAGCAAGGAGACCGGTGGCCCAAGGTCTAGTGGAAGTCAACTTGTCCACCATCTTGGACCTATTTGGTTTTAATCAGTCTACATGTCCTTGGGCTATGCCATTCTTTTAAAGGTTGTGCCTATCCTCTTCTGTCCTGTTTCAGCATCACAAAAGAGAATGAAGGAACTAAAGAAAGAACTCAGCACACAGAAGAAGACTTGCAGAACAAATACACCAATTTAACAGCAGGTCTTGAAGGTCAGAGGTCAGAGGTGGGTGTAGGTACAGGAAAAGTATGGCAGCTTGAACTGGAACCCTTCAATCTAGTTATCTTGACAGTGTACACTGTTATCTGGGGGAGAAAAAGAGGTGTATGTGAACTGTTTAAAGATAAACTGAGGCATATTACAAATTTTGAGTTTTTTGAGAAAAAATTGATTCAAATCTAGCAACAACTAACCTAGCAGTTAGAAAGGAGCTCCAAGGAATGGTACAAAATGAAAGATTTTTACAGGTAGAAGGAGTGGGAACAAGAAAGTTATACTACACAAAAAACTGAGTTGGTTATTGCAAGTTTGGTCTTCCCTGATGGCTTAGGGATAAAGAATCTGCCTGCCAATGCAGGAGAAGTGAGTTTGATCCCTGGGTGGGGAAGATCCTCTGGAGAAGGAAATGGCAACCCACTCCAGTGTTCTTACCTGGGAAATCCCATGGACCAAGGAGCCTGGCAAGATACAGTTCATGGTGTCACAAAAGAGTTGGACATGACTTAGCGACTAAACAACAATCACAAATTGCAAGGTTACTTTCCTTAAGGGGATGGCAGGGATTTATCAGGCAGATTACCTAGCTGATCAGACAGTTCCTAATTGACTGGTTTAATATTTCATTTCTGGGAGAGTATAAACTCTAAATCTGATAACATAGGGCTTAATATAAGCAACTCCATTCTGGGCTTGTTTTGCTTTTAACAAAAGGAACATGCTATCTCAATGAATCTGTAACTCTCAGGGGTCCAAATCATCTTTCTGACATCAGTCACTGTGCCTTATCTACTATGCAGCATAGCACATGGAGGATGAATTGGTCTCTGTTCATTTGCAAGAGATTGTCACCTTGAGGACGGAGAGGATCCACCATGACTAAGTGAACCACCAATCAGCTGATGTGAGGACAGAGGACTTCTGGAACGAAGACTGGATCAGTGAGATGAGGCTTGGGCATGGATGGCAGCCTGGAAGATTCATTAGTGGTGTTAGGCACAGTGTAAAACACTAGATGTATTCTGGAGGGATTTCACTAAGGGCTGGAGTTCTGGCTTAAGCAAATATGTTAATTCAACTACCCAGATTTAGATATGAATGTTAATAGCAACTGATTTTTAGCCTCAGGCTGGTGAAGGTTTATGACATTAAGATTACCCATAATACTGTTTTTTTCTTGAAATTCACTTGGGTGTGTTGCTTTTTTTTTTTAAACAAATAGGAGCACAGGTCTGATGGTTATAAAACTTTTATTCATTCATTTAACAACTATTCATTGAATAAACTCTATATCCTTGGGAAATCAAACACTAAAACAGTCTGTGCCTTCAAGGGGAATTGCCTAGAGATCTAGTGCTTAGGACTGCCTCTACAAGTAGAAATTTATGTCAGTTTCACGAAGTAAAATTGATGCTCTGGTATTAAGTAGAAAGGGAAGGGCAGACAGTTCAATGTTTCTTGGTTGCCTCCAAAAATAATCTTAATGCTAAAGTGGCATATTTTAAGCCCCTTCAACTGTTGACTGTGGATTTCTTTTTTTGCAGCTTTTAGTTTGGTGCTTATTGCAATTACTCATGTTTAATTCCGGAAAAGGCAATGGCACCCCACTCCAGTACTCTTGCCTGGAAAATCCCATGGACGGAGGAGCCTGGCTGGAGCGCTCCAGCCCATGGGGTCGCTAAGAGTCAGACACGACTGAGCGACTTAACTTTCACTTTTCACTTTCATGCATTGGAGAAGGAAATGGCAACCCACTCCAGTGTTCTTGCCTGGAAAATCCCAGCGACGGGGGAGCCTGGTGGGCTGCCATCTATGGGGTCGCACAGAGTCGGACACGACTGAAGCAACTTAGCAGCAGCATGTTTAACTCTCTGCTATTAAATGACCAACTCCTTGAGAAAAAGACTTATCTTATTCACCTGCACACCCTCAGAACAGAGCAGACTTTAGCAGAATCAGTTCATAATTACTATGGGCATGGAAACCAAATATCCAATTTGCTAGAATTATTTTGCAACCAGGATAATGAGGTTTATGACTTTTTGTGTATGGTTTTAATGTCAAATATTTTGACTGAGGTCCTTGTGTCATCTCCATTTTAGCGTGCCTTCAAGATAAGCGTTGTCTCTCGTAAAATAGGCTACGTTAATTTGTTGAGAGACACGCCTGATTTTCTTACAGCAAGGTTTCTTTGCACTTAGAAGAAAACTTCAGTAAAATTCTGATCTAAAGCTAAACGTCTTAAAAAAAAACCTAACAAGTACTTTTCCTTCCATTTTACTCATATTATTGCTTCAATCTGCAAACACAAGTAGCTGCTTCCCATTTAATTTCCAGGCATGAAACCACTGTTAAAACTATGAGACTGCCACAATTTGGCTTTTTATTTTTTTTCCTGTAAAGCAAGTTATTTAATTATACAGACAAGGTCTCGTTCCTGTATATATCTCGCTCTTCTCAAATATTCTGTAATCAGAATTCTATGTTTTGAAAACTCTGCAAAACTAAAAACATGGATCCTCAGGAGACTCCAATCAGCCAGCGACCAATCTCACCCCTCAAAGCCTGGGATGGGAAAGGCAGCACCGCTGGAGATGAACGAGCCCGGCCAAAGACCGCAGAGGGCCCCTCCCGGGAGCGGAGGCGGGGTCGAGGGTGGAGGCGGGGTCGAGGGTGGAGGCGGGGTCGAGGGTGGAGGCGGGGTCGAGGGTGGAGGCGGGGTCGGGGGCGGAGCGTCGCCGCGCAGAGAGGAGCCCCCCGCCCTCCCCGCAATTGGCCTGCGTCTCTCGCCGGAATCCGGGTACTGCGGGCGCATCGGCTCGGCCCTTTCCGCTCGTTCTGGGCGCCTGGCCTGGGCATGCAGCTGCTTCGAGGACTGCGGCTCTCGGGGCTCGGCGCCTCCGCAGGCCGGGGCGCCGCGGCCCGAGCCCCGGGCGCCAGCCCCTGCCTCCGCCCCCCGCCCCGCCCCCGCGCGCCTCCCGCCGGTCCTCGGCCCCGCCTCCGCCCCCTCCTCGCGCTTCGCCCCGGGTTGCAGCGCCCGGCTGTCGTCGCCTGCAGAGACCCGTCGCCCGCCACCGCCGCCTGCATGGAGCTCCCCGGAGCCGGTGAGCTCGGGCGGCCGAGCGGGCGGTGTGGGGCGACTGGAGTCTGGGGGCGTGGGCTCGGCGCGGCCGCGGGGAGGGCCCGGCCTCGCCGCCCCGCCTGCGCCCCCGGCGCTTGGAGCGCGATCCCACGCTCGCCCTGCCCTGGGGCTCCTCTCCCCGCCCTGCGCGGAATTCGGTGTAGCCGCAAGGGACCCGGTACAACCGGGTATGATCAGCGCTGCTTGTCAGCGAGTGTTTTCGTTACTGCACGCACTGTTGTTGCGACGGGAGGCCGGAAGTGTGAACCCATTTTAAATTTCACTTTTCTTTCCCGATGATCTTCTAACCTTTTAGAAACTTCATGCCGACACATACCCTCCGACACATACCCTCCTTTGGTGTTGGTGTGATCAAGAAAATCTAGAAAAAGCTCCGTTTTTATATTTTATCACAAACAAAGGCTTGAACCACCGCAGTTAGGCTTTCCTCGTAGGATTTTATTCTTGGTGTGGAAGTGACCTCTCTAAACTGGCGCCAGATCTGCAGTAGGGCTCAGAATGAGTTTCCAGTTTATGTCAGCATTTACTGAGAACTGAAGTTGGTGGGCAGAGCGAGTTAGGGGTTGGACTTTTGATGAAAGGCACCAACAAGCCAATTAGAGAAAAGGTGGTCTTCTGTGAAGGAAATGTCAACCTACTCCAGTACTCTTGCCTGGAGAATCCCATGGACGGAGGAGCCTGGTGGGCTACAGTCCACGGGGTCACGAAGAGTCGGACTCAACTGAGAAACTTTCAGGTTTTTTTCATGTGAGATTTTTGAAGTATAAACGCATGAAAGTGAAAGTGAAGTCGCTCAGTCATGTCCGAGTCTTTGTGACCCCATGGACTGTAGCCCGCCAGGCTCCTCTGTCCATGGGATTCTCCAGGCAAGAATCCTGGAGTGGGTTGCCATTTCCTTCTCCAGGAGATCTTCCCGACCCAGAGATTGAACCCGGGCCTCCCGCAATGTAGGCAGACGCTTTACCGTCTGAGCCACTGCATAGCAAGATATACAAAGCATGAAAATCTTAAAATGTTATGTAATAACCGTTAACTAGTGTAAATATGTTTACAGTTGTTGAGGGAATGAAATGAAGACCTTGGAAGGTCAGTGCCGAGGGTGGGAATTTTTGAGATGCACTTATAAAGGGAAACGTGTAGGGGATTGTTAGTGTCAAAGAGAAAGGTTTCCCACCCCAGTTCCTTCAGTGTGTGGCCTTGCAATTGAGGATGCTGATAGCATACTTTTAAGATGTTTGTGGAGTTTAATGCCTTTTTACATTGCGTTTCAGATATTATTAGCTTACTTTGTCCATTTCTGGCTAGTAATTTGGGTTGTACTTTTGTTCCTTTTTTCATCATGTGGAAACCAAAGCATGGAGGTCAGGTAACTTGTTGACAGCTGTCAACATTTCTCCAGCTGTAAGATGTTTCTATTTTTAGTAGCTAGGCCAGACCTGGCTTGGATGAACTGACTCTACTGATTCTTGGGAACTGTACCTACTATATATCTATTGTTTAGTTGCTAAGTCCTGTCGACTGTTTTGTGACCCCATGGACTGTAGCCCAACAGGCTCCTCTGTCCATGGGATTTCCCAGGCAGGAATATTGGATATACCTTCTTGGGGAATATACCTACCTAGTAGAGTGAGTAGAAGAGAATTTGGTTAATAAAGTTGTGCTTCGTTATCCAGAAAGGAAACTTGAAGTTTGTGTGAGGAAGAGCAGGCTATTCTTTTTTTCTTCTATTGGTCTGTCTTTGATGAAGTCATTTGTGGAAGTACACATATATTTGAATATTAGTATATACTTCATGTACAATTTTATAATGTATTTTAAACATATGCGTTAATTGTTTTCTTATAAAAGTAATGATTCTTGGAATAATAGAAATGTATTGAGTACAACAACTATGTCAGCCTTTTCGTATATAACTGTACACACAGTACAAGTTCATATGCATTCTTATATCTGCTCTTTAAAATGAAAATGCTCTTCTTAACCAGAACAGATACCAGACAGATATCTGGGCGTATTATATTATAAAAACTGTGTATCTTATAATATAAACTGTGTATGTGAACTTTCCAGAAGTGCTGTTGCTGGCAGGTTTTGGTGGTTGAGTAACTGGATTCAAAGTCTAGCCCCAAGACCTGTAACCTGAGGCAAGTTGCTTAATTGGCTAGTCTGTGAAAAGAGTTTAATATTACCCTGATAAAGTCGTTTATTTTAAGGTTGGTTATTATTTTATTTCTTTATTTCTGGCTATGCTGGGTCTCTGTTGTGGCACGCAGGCTTCTAGTTGCAGAGAGCCAAGGCAACTCTTGGTTGTGGTGCACAGGCTTCTCATTGCAGTAGCTTCTCTTTTTGTTTAGCACAGGCTGTAGGCACCCGGGCTTCAGTGGTTAAGGCGCACAGGCTCGGTAGTTCTGGCTCACAGGTCCTAGGGCGCACAGGCTTGGTAGCTGTGGCTCACAGGTCCTAGAGTGCACAGGCTCAGTAGTTGGGCTCACAGGTCCTAGAGCACACAGGCTCGGTAGTTCTGGCTCACAGGTCCTAGAGCGCACAGGCTCGGTAGTTCTGGCTCACAGGTCCTAGGGCGCACATGCTCGGTAGTTCTGGCTCACAGGTCCTAGGGTGCACATGCTCGGTAGTTCTGGCTCACAGGTCCTAGGGCACACATGCTCGGTAGTTCTGGCTCACAGGTCCTAGGGCACACATGCTCGGTAGTTCTGGCTCACAGGTCCTAGAGCACACACACTCGGTAATTCGGGCTCACAGGTCCTAGGGTGCACAGGCTCGGTAGCTGTGGCTCACAGGTCCTAGAGCGCACAGACTCGGTAGTTCTGGCTCACAGGTCCAAGAGTGCACAGGCTCGGTAGTTGGGCTCACAGGTCCTAGAGTGCACAGGCTCGGTAGTTCTGGCTCACAGGTCCTAGGGCACACAGACTCTGTAGTTGGGCTCACAGGTCCTAGAGCACACAGACTCGGTAGTTCTGGCTCACAGGTCCTAGGGCGCACAGACTCGGTAGTTGGGCTCACAGGTCCTAGAGCGCACAGGCTCGGAGGTTCTGGCTCACAGGTCCTAGGGCGCACAGGCTCGGTAGTTCTGGCTCACAGGTCCTAGAGTGCACAGGCTCGGTAGTTCGGGCTCACAGGTCCTAGAGCGCACAGACTCAGTAGTTCTGGCTCACAGGTCCTAGAGCGCACAGGCTCGGTAGTTCTGGCTCACAGGTCCTAGGGCGCACAGACTCGGTAGTTCTGGCTCACAGGTCCTAGGGCGCACAGACTCAGTAGTTCTGGCTCACAGGTCCTAGAACGCACAGACTCAGTAGTTCTGGCTCACAGGTCCTAGAGCGCACAGGCTCGGTAGTTCTGGCTCACAGGTCCTAGGGCGCACAGGCTCGGTAGTTCTGGCTCACAGGTCCTAGGGCGCACATGTTCGGTAGTTCTGGCTCACAGGTCGTAGAGCGCACAGGCTCGGTAGTTCTGGCTCACAGGTCCTAGGGCGCACATGCTCGGTAGTTCTGGCTCACAGCTCCCAGGGCGCACATGCTCGGTAGTTCTGGCTCACAGGTCCCAGGGCGCACAGGCTCGGTAGTTCTGGCTCACAGGTCCCAGGGCACACAGGCTCGGTAGTTCTGGCTCACAGGTCCCAGGGCGCACATGCTCGGAAGTTCTGGCTCACAGGTCCTAGGGCGCACAGGCTCGGTAATTCTGGCTCACAGGTGCTAGTGTGCACAGACTCGGTAGCTGTGGCTCACAGGTCCGAGAGCGCGCAGACTCGGTAGCTGTGGCTCACAGGTTCCAGGGCGCACAGGCTCGGTAGTTCTGGCTCACAGGCCCTAGGGCACACAGGCTCGGTAATTGTGGCTAACAGGTCCCAGAGTGCACAGGCTCAGTAGTTCTGGCTCACAGGTCTTAGAGCGCACAGACTCGGTAGTTGTGGCTCACAGGTCCTAGGGCGCACAGGCTCGGTAGTTCTGGCTCACAGGTCCTAGGGCGCACAGGCTCGGTAATTCTAGCTCACAGGTGCTAGTGCGCACAGGCTCGGTAGCTGTGGCTCACAGGTCCTAGAGCGCACAGACTCAGTAGTTCTGGCTCACAAGTCCTAGAGCGCACAGGCTCGGTAGCTCTGGCTCACAGGTCCTAGAGCGCACAGGCTCGGTAGTTCTGGCTCACAGGTCCTAGAGTGCACAGGCTCGGTAGTTGGGCTCACAGGTCCTAGAGCGCACAGGCTCGGTAGTTCTGGCTCACAGGTCCTAGGGCGCACAGGCTCGGTAGTTCTGGCTCACAGGTCCTAGAGCGCACAGACTCGGGAGTTCTGGCTCACAGGTCCTAGAGCGCACAGGCTCGGTAGTTCTGGCTCACAGGTCCTAGAGCGCACAGGCTCGGTAGTTCTGGCTCACAGGTCCTAGAGCGCACAGACTCGGTAGTTCTGGCTCACAGGTCCTAGAGCGCACAGACTCGGGAGTTCTGGCTCACAGGTCCTAGAGCGCACAGGCTCGGTAGTTCTGGCTCATAGGTCCTAGAGCGCACAGACTCGGTAGTTGGGCTCACAGGTCCTGGAGCGCACAGACTCGGTAGTTCTGGCTCACAGGTCCTAGAGTGCACAGGCTCGGTAGTTCTGGCTCACAGGTCCTAGAGTGCACAGGCTCGGTAGTTGGGCTCACAGGTCCTGGAGCACACAGACTCGGTAGTTCTGGCTCACAGGTCCTAGGGCGCACAGGCTCGGTAGTTCTGGCTCACAGGTCCTAGAATGCACAGGCTCGGTACTTGGGCTCACAGGTCCTAGAGCGCACAGGCTCGGTATTTCTGGCTCACAGGTCCTAGAGCGCACAGACTCGGTGGTTCTGGCTCACAGGTCCTAGAGCGCACAGGTTCGGTAGTTGGGCTCACAGGTCATAGAGCACACAGACTCGGTAGCTGTGGCTCGCAGGTCCTAGAGCGCACAGACTCGGTAGTTCTGGCTCAGAGGTCCTA